GAAATGCAAATAATTATCACTTAAAAAGCCAGAACAAAGAAAGCAGACTAAAGTCTATCTTTTGCAATGGGATAAATTTGTACAACAATTTGCCAAATGAATTTAAATCTCTTGACATGAAAGGATTCAAGAATCAAGTCGTGAAGCTTTTAAATGAAAAAGGAAGTTTTTAAAAAAAGACATAACGTGTTATGTACTATTTTTACAATGATTTTAAATAGCTGTAAACAAGCTCATCATCATCATCATAATCATCATCATTATCACTTATTACTTTTCAATAAGTAAATCTACTATAAAACTGAAAAAAAAATTATTTCAGTAATCCTTCTTTTTAATATATAATTAATAAAAAAACCTATACAAAAATTAAAGCTAGATATATCACTCTAATTATTCTATATCTGCATTTTTATACAAGTAAAGACCATCTACATGCACATTTTTTTTCCACATAAAAAAATAGTCTAACGCAAATATCTTTGAGTGCTTACTAATGTTAGGAAAACGCCCTATCGGCACATCTAGTTTCTTTTTCGGAAATAAAACCTATATAGGCACGTGTTTTTCACGATCCAGGCGTAAACCAAAAGCACGTGTATATTACGGGCAGTTTTACTAGATTTAACACGTGATTTTTGAGGTTTTAAAGTCAAATTTAAAAGTCGCATATTCTTATCAGTGGTTTTATTTTTATTTTATATACATAAGTTTTTTATATACATATGTTTTATTTTTATTTTATATACATAAGTTTTTTATATACATATGTTTTATTTTTATTTTATATACATAAGTTTTTTATATACATATGTTTTATTTTTAAATACATAAGTTGTTATTTTACTCCAGCCCATTTGCAAATATCAGTGATATTTCTTAGAACATCTTTTAATCTAAAAAAAAGGACAAAAAGTTTTAATATAAATATTATTATTAATATAAAAGTTATTAATAATATAAAAAAACAAAACTTGTACCTCTGGTTTTCTGGCATAACCAGAGGTACTAGAGACCAGAGGGGGAGATGCAACACTACCTTTACTATCCAAAAATGCATATTTCTTTACCCTAGTATATCAAAAATGCTTAAATAATAAAAATGTTATTTTCATAAATGAGAAAAATTAGTATAAAAACATACTTAACTAGATTGCAATATTTATTAGCGTTTTATCCATAATTTTTCAGAAGAAGACCTTTTTTAATCGCAAAAAAATTAAAAAAAAAAAAAGAAAAAAAAAATTAAATAATTGTTTGTTGAAATAAAAATTGTAATTCATTTGTGATTTGAATAATTATATACCAAACCTACTCAAAGACTTTCTTCATTTCAAATTAACAAAATAATAAAAATAACATGCAAATAATCATTTAAATCCGATTCTTAATTGGATGGTATCTCAGACAAGTTGACTAATCCTATAGGATGAAATTGTTGGGCAATTTATTTTTTTAAACTTGTATTAATGTGGAGCTACAACTTGTTTCCAAAACACAATATCTAACACAAAATTAGACACAAAAATGTAATAAAACAAATGATGTTGATAGAGATCTAATAAAGTATTGTTAAAAAATTAAAGTAAAATAAAAATGTGGCTCCATCGTAATTACAATTAATTTAATCTTTTTGATAAGCAGAACAAGTAGATCTATTACACTAGCCTGGGTGGTTTTGTTTCTTTTTTTTTACCCCGTCGTATTGCGAATGAACCTTGATGCTCTTGCTACAAAGCTCTGCTGAGCGTACCACTGGAAACTTGCAAGATTTTGCTGAAAGTTATCTTGCGCTGTTTCCATCATGTTTAGTTGCAAAAAAAACTTGTGTAAGTTGTGCCCACACAGAAATGCTAACTTAGCTTCAACTTATAAATTCTAATTCAAATTACGCATATTTTTCATATTTTTATATACGTGGGTTCAGACACGTATGAAATCAGCATCTCACACATTGACATAACTGCCATTTCACTTTGTGAAATTAAAGAATCGGTCAACTTGAGCAATGATGAAGCTATTGATTTTGAGAACACAGATGCATCATGAAATTTAATCAATTCAATGGTTTCAAACCATGATGTTGCTTTAGATTCGAAAAGCAAAGATGGTTAGTCTAGTAGATAGGATGATTGCTTCTGGTCCGATGATGATGGTGCTAATTTAAACAGCAGCCTCGCTGGTCTATTTAAGTCTGCAAAAAAAAAAAAGTTAGAATAAATTTCAAGAAAAAAATGAAATTGATGAGTAAAAAATATTTTAATGGCTATGAGGTAATATGATAAAACTAAACAAATTTAGAGTGAAAGATCTAGAGTGAATTTAGAGTAGAAATTTAAGGTACTATAAAAAACCTACGACCTACGAAAGTATGTAGCTTATTTTAAGACATTTGAATTAAAATTGTTTTAAGAACCAATGTATGGATAAAATGATGATGAATGAACAATGAATTAGAGAATGAGAAGACATAGCAGCTCTCTCTGTTTGGCAAAAAGGAGTGAGTTAAGAAATTTTAAAAATATAATTTTAGTTATATTTTTAAAATTTAATATTTTTAAGAGTTATGTATGAAATTTTAAAAATGTAACTTTTCAGGCGATTATAAAAAAATAATGATGGAGGCAGCTGCTGACCAGCTCGACTCTAATATATGTGTAAATATTTAACTTTTGAAATATTGATTACATATGTGTAGTCTTAATGAATACAGTTAATCAAAAAATATTTTTATATGAAGATAACCTCTTATTAATTAAATCCTAGCTAGACCACGCTTTGCATAGTTAACCAAGTCGGGTGGGCCAACCTTAAAACAGTACAAAATAGGGGTCTTGTAATATTAATTAGTAGAGTATCAATCCTTGCAGAAATTTTAAAATTAGATAATAAAATTGTTAAATTGTTATTTATCCACCTCTGACCCAGTGGGCACGCAACGACCAGACATCCGTAAATGTCTGTCTGACGTCCACCGGACGCTGCATGCCTGCTGGAAACTGGCGAATTTTGCTCAACTACCTAGTTAAAAAGAATATTTTTACACCAACATGCCATGATCTAGAGGCAGCCATCTTTAAAGCTAAAATGAACCTTGTGCTAGTAAGTCCTATTGGCTGTGCAGGCTTGGACAGGAATGGCGTGCGATCGCACTCTGTAATTGACCACGCTAATAGTTTTTTTTCTTTACAACTTGATCACAGCTATTTTGATGTTTTAACATTTTAAATCCAATAAAAAGTGTTACATTATGAATAACTTTTAATCGTTTATCTTTCCCAAAGTTTTTATTTTACGCAAAAGCTTTAAAATAAAACCATATCATTCATTACTTTAATGATTGTTTACATAGACGCGTGTGTAAATTAATAAAAAATGTTATATTTAATTTTTTTTATGTGAGCATGTATTTTTCATAATAAATTTAAACGTTTGAAACTATTTTCCAATGTCTTACTAAAAATCTTTTAAAGCATTAATTTTAGAAAGATTTTTTTTTAAGTTACTTTAATTTATGAATAAGTTCAAAACTATTTGCGATTACTAGCTTTTACACATTTTATGTGAATTATACAAGAATATAAAATAACTTTATTTACTTATATAAGCATGTATTTTGTTGATTAATGGAAAAGTTTTGAAGCATTTTATAATTTTCATACAATTCATTTTTATATTATTATTTTTATTATATTGTATTTTTAATATTAAACTTACGAGCACTTTACGTAACATGAAGTAACTTTACGTGAAGCGTTTAGTAATAAAGTTGTAATGCTCAAATTAAAATTAAATTAAATTGCTTGTTGGCAGTTTATTATATTTAAATCGCAGGCGCATTTTATTAAATTATTTTTTTCCTATTTTTACAATTAAAAAAGTTGGAAACTTTTTTTTTAAGTAGACTTATTAATTAGAGCATGAAATTAATAAAAATTACTATTTTAAAAAAAACTACGTTATTTTTTTTAAACGATCTTTTTTTTTGCAACTTTTTTGAAAAAATAAATGTTTATACAATTTAAAAATATTGAATACAACACTTAAATAAATTTGTAAAATTTGTTCATTTATTAAACAATCATTATTAGGGGAGATGGGGGCGCATTGATCGCCGTGGCAGCATGATCTTTTAGCTTTTACTCGTTTACTTTTGCCTTAATTTAACAGAGATCGCAATTTAATTAACCATTATACTACCCTTCATTGCTTTATCGTAATAATTTTTGATAAGATCAACTTCAGCGTTAAGAAAATTGAAAAGACTGTTTTTCATCATGAAAAGTGATTTTTGAAAGTTGTAAACAAATTCAAATAAATTTTTAATTAGATTTCCGTATGACTTTACAACCAATTTATTGTAAACTCATATGTGTTAAGTTTATAATAAATTTGTTTTTTTGAGTTGGTTACTGTATTTATAGAAGTTATTGGCATCAATATATCAACTGTACCTAATGGGACACATTGATCGTTGACTATGCGGGGCTCATTTATCGGAGGATCAAAGTGCCCCATATAACTTGTATTATAAGACTTAAATTTTTTGTTTAAATTTTATACATTTAAACTTATGACGAATAAAAAACCTTTATATAAACTTTTAAAATTTCATTTTTAAAATGTAATAGTGTTAAAAACTAATATTAATAACATTAGTTTTTAGTTTTACATAAGTTTTACAATTAGTTTACAAAATATTATTATATAAAATATTTTTTTTAAACAATCATTTTATTTTACTTTTTTTTAAATTTTCAGATCTTTAAATGGTTAGGTATAGAGAAAAAAAAAAAACAGCTGTAAATGAAGTTTTAGAGGGCAGACCAGTGAATGTTGTAGCTCGCAAGTTTAGCATAAATCGAATGACCTTAAAAAGATATTGTAACAAGAAGAAACTCAACCCAAATGAATTTTTTAAGCCTTATTACAACAATAAACAAGTTTTTACTGCAGAAGATGAAAAAAGTTTGTCAAGTTATTTACTACTTGCTTAAAAAATGAACTGTGGACTTTCAACTAAGTCAACTCGATTATTGGCATACGAGTTTGCTGTAAAAAATAATAAGATTTGCCCTTCATCATGGATCAAGAATAAAATTGCAGGGATTGATTGGTTGCAAGGTTTTATGAAAAGACAACCAGAGTTGTCTTTACGAACACCTGAAGCAACAAGCTTTGCTCGATCAACTGCCGACACACTGTTGGAGAATTTTTCCAAAATCTAAAAACAGTAAGAAATCGATATAGTTTGATCCTTATTGCATATATAAACTGGTTTATTGCATATATAAACTGGTTTAACAACAGTACAAAAGCCAGTAAAAGTGTTAGCAGGTAAAGGAAGTAAACAAGTAGGAAGAATCACATCTGCAGAACGAGGAACATTAGTAACTGTATGTTGTGCTTCAAATGCAATTGGAAACTCTATTCCTCCACTATTAGTTTTTCCTAGGGTCAAATTTCATGATTACATGATAAAGGAAGGTCCTCCTGGATGTGTGGGATTTGCAAATCCTTCTGGTTGGATAAATTCAGACATTTTTATAGAATGGATAAAACATTTTGTGAGGTATTCAAACTGTTCTCATGAATCTCCAGTTTTGTTACTTCTGGACAGCCATAAAAGTCATATTTCTGTTAGAGCTTTAGATCTTGCAATTCAACATGGAATTACAATGCTAAATTTTCCTCCCCATTGTACCCATAAATTGCAACCATTGGATAGAACTGTTTTTGGACCATTGAAAAGGTTTTACAATGCTGCATGTGATAATTGGGTGGTCACAAATCCAAGACCTATGACCATTTATGATATTGTTTCAATAGTTCGCGAACCATAAACAAAAGCTTTCTCACCATCTAATATACAGAGAGGATTTCAAGTAGCTGGCATTGAGCCATTTAATCCAGAAATTTTTAAAGATGATGAATATTTACCATCATCAGTTACAAATTGTGCTGCTCCAAATGTAGTAAACACAATTCTTGTGAAACCTGAAATGACAGTAGCACATGTTGATGGCATGGAGCCTGAAATCATGAAACAAGTTTTTCGAACAAAGTGTCACCAAGCATTGCTTCATTACTCTCACCTGAAGTTTTAAAACCTTACCCGAACGCATCTGCTAGAAAAAGAAGTGTTAAAAATAGGCAATTAAAAACATGGATTTTGACTGATATTAGAAATGAAATTCGTTTGTCAGAAGAAAAGAAAACCCTAAAACAAATCAACCAACAAAAGAAACTCATCGCAAAAGATAAAAAAAGGGGAAAAGTTAAAAACTACTTGCTTAGGAACAAAAAACAATGTAATGTAAAAGCAGCATCACAACTTGACTTTGACAAAGGATGATAATATAAAAAAATAATCTTGTAAACTTTAGTTCTAATAAAAGTCTTGTATGAATCTTGTATTTTCTTTGTAAACTTAAAATACTGTATTCTTATAGACTTTATAAGCTTCAAGTTTTGTAAACTTAACACATATATATGTCAGTAGTATATAACGGGCTTATTTTCATAGATAGAATTGTGGTTATTCTTATAATGTAAACTTTATACAATGGTGTGTATTAGGTTGTAATGATATATATATATATATATATATATATATATATATATATATATATATATATATATATATATATATATATATATTATATATATATATGTTTTAAATTTTACTTTTTTTTTAGATGTATTATATAATATACACTAATACCCTTCAACTAATGCATTTGTAGCACTTAGGTATAGCAGTATTAAACATGTAAATAATGTTACTCATATAAGATCAAAGCGCCCATGTAGGAGATCATAGTACCCCATTGCATGGGGTACATTAATCTTTTGCAAGGGTTGTTGTAATGTTGAAATGATGTTCATTGATGTTTTTTATTAAAACATTTATTTTTACTTAAAGACAGATTGTTCTAGTTTAGTTTAGTAATTATTAAATTTTTATATCTAGATCCGGTTGTTTGCAGTTTTCAAAATACTGCAACAGCGATCAATGCGCCCCTATCTCCCCTAGTAATTTGTTACTTAATTTAAAAGCGCTTTGCGTAACTTTAACAAAACAATTAAAGATATTTATTTCAAACGTAACTAAAAAGTAACAAAAAGTTTCGCTTCTAGTTTAAGTTTTTATTTTTAATTTTAGTGCTTATATAGTTTTTTTTTTGTAAAGAATTTATTTTTGTTTCTTTTTTCGTTAAGAATTTTTTTTAACTTTTTTCCAAGTTTAAGTTTAGCTTAGCCTTTTGTACATTCAGCGCATTTCTGAAATGTTTAAATCATCAAAACATATAAACAATCGAGGTCAAGTTGTCAAGAAATAAAATCATTTTCATGGTCAGCAATAGCGCTCGATTGCACGCCATTCCTGTCCAAGCCTGCTGTGCAAGAAAGACAACAAGCTGTCTTGATTTTGTAGCTATACTAGTTTAGTTTATATGTCAATACAGTCAACAGATGTCCAAATTTTAGAGGTTTTTTTAATACAGAACTAAATGGGCTGTGGCATAATGCATTTGTCTGTTGATGTATTATATGTAGAAGTTTGGAATACCGTTAGAAAAAACCACCCAATTGATCTTAGTTTTATAGATATATGACAGTGCTGCATTCGATAACCTTTCTTTGGAATTGCATAACATGCCAATTAACTTCTCTATCTATTCACTTCAATATTTTAAAATTTTACTTTTGCAGTCTGTTTTTAAAGTGTTTCCATAATAGTAATGGAGATACGGGTAACTCCCGATAACCTGAATCAAAATGATGATTCAACATAACAAATATTCGACCAAAACAAATTCCTGTTAAGTTAAACTTTAACTGATATGAGATATTTGTTAGGGTTAAGGCGATTTTTCCTTATTCAATGGAGAAGTATATACATTTAATTTACACAATTATATTAATCTTTCAATGAGAGAAGTTACGGATTGTATTCATGCAGTGCAGTCAAAAGAAAACATTCGAAAAAAGTTATAGCACTATTTTATGTCTGATAATGATCTATTCTTTTCAGCAACGAATACAAATACAACAAAAAATTATTAGGTTACATTTATTTATGTTTTATATAGAGCGGCTTCCTTTTTTTAAAAAAAAATGTCATTACATTTAATTCCCATACAAAAAGTTCGACTTATCCGAAGAAATTTACTGAAAAAGTACAACAAAATGGCTTGATTTAACAAAGTTCGAGTTATCTAAAGTTTGACTTAAAGGGAGAATTTTATTGGTAATTTTAAGGGACCAAATTAAACAGATCAAGATAATAAAAGTTCAAGTTAACCATATAAACTCTTATACTGTCAACTCAAAACATCTTCTAACCATATAAACTCTTATACTGTCAACTCAAAACATCTTCTAACCATATAAACTCTTAATGTTCAAGTTAACCATTAAACTCTTAATGTTCAAGTTAACCATTAAACTCTTAAATTAACCATATAAACTCTTATACTGTCAACTCAAAACATCTTCTATTACATTATTGCAATGTAAGATGTTTTAAATTATTGTCTTAAGTGAGACAATCAAAAATTATGTTTATATACTGCTTATCAATGAATAAATTTATTACTGATTGCAATATATTTAGTATTATAGTGGTCGTCTAGTAAAAAATATAAATATTTGTTTTGTATAAAGTTTATTTTATTTTTTAACATAAAGAAATTATATTTATATTGCAAAAAAAAAAAAAAAAAAAAAAAAAGGAAAAAAACTTTTAATGTTTTTAAATGGTGAATCAGCAAAAATATTTTTGAAACACCCCTTTCTTAAAACAAAGAGTTCTAGCTATCTGTAAATTAGTTTTGCATGAACTTTGGTGTGCATGCAGAATATATACAAAACTAGTATGTGAACCAGTAAAAACTTATAATTATTTTTAGATACATAATATCAGGTATACATATTTGGGGAATTTAAAAAAGTGGAAAAATTTGATAAAAACTGTCCTATAATTCCTAAAATACTTTGGGAATTATTTTGATTCTGGTTCACAGAATTAATATTTTGTTTTGATTACATTAACTTGATATAATCAAAATTTTAAAATACTGAAATTTTAAAATACTGAAATTTTAAAACACTTAAGTATTTTAAAAGTTAAATATTGTTGAAAGATTTTGTCAGTATGTAACCTATTAATAATTGGTAAAAAAAAATATTAAAGTAAATAAAACTAAATGCAATATCAAAGTGCTTTCTTAAAACTATAAAGGGCTCCCACTATTAAAACTGATGCTAAAAGTAAGGATTTTAAGGAGATATTTTCCTAATATTTAGGAAGATTTAATTGCGAACAACAATTTTTTGAAAAAAAAAGTAAGGAGAATTAAGGAGAAAACAATTACATTTAAAACAGAGTCTTATTTTTTTTAATGAATTTTAAATAAAAACAGAGAAATTATTATAAATTAATATATTACTTTATATATATATATATATATATATATATATATATATATATATATACATATATATATATATATATATATATATATATATATATATATATATATATATATATATATATATATATATATATATATATATATATATATATATATATATATATATATATATATATATATATATTTGCTAACTATCAAAGAACTATATATTTTCTTTTTTATTAATAAATCTAACACAAGTCAACAATTTATGTTTTCTAAAATATCATTGAAAATAGGCTTCTTTAGAGACACAGGTTGGAATACTTTTGAATAATTTTTTTTTTGACAATATAATATTGTATTAAACAAATACAATATTATATTAAAATATTGTATTAAACAAATATTGTATATTGCAAACAATTTGTTTTTTGTAAAGCATTTCTCATTTTGATTTCAAATATGCAACTCATTTTTCTCCATCACGTCAAGTTGTAAAGATATTTAAGTTCAAATCTTTAGTAATTGTGGTAAAATCTCTAATATTATATATTAGAGATTTTAGACACAGGTTGGAATACTTTTGAATAATTTTTTTTTTTACAATATAATATTGTATTAAACAAATACAATATTATAGTATTAAACAAATATTGTATACAACAAAAAAAAATTTCTGGTGCCGAGCAAACAAATGTGGTAAAATCTCTAATATTCAATATTAGAGATTTTACCACAATTACTAAAGATTTGAACTTAAATATCTTTACAACTTGACGTGATGGTGAAAAATGAGTTGCATATTTGAAATCAAAATGAGAAATGCTATACAAAAAACAAATTGTTTGCTCGGCACCAGAATTTTTTTTTTGTTGTTGACCTGTGTAAATCTGCTCACTTTATTAAAATTTCTTAGATGATTAAGGAGGAGTGGAAACCCTGCTATATTAGGCACTTCAACATTTTTTAAAAAAATGTAAAATGAAAACAAAACAAACTCCATAAGTTAGAGCTAAACATTAACAGTTAAAAAATAACAAACTTATCGTTATATTATTATTAGTCGAAAACTTATGCAACTTTTAACCCACAAAGTTTAAGATTTCTTTTTGTATGACTATTGCGGTTTTTAGCGATTTAACGTTTTTAAGAATCACATCAACGTTTCCGTTCTTTTACAAAAGTGACAATAAACAAGACCGTTATTATTAAAAACTAAGAAGGCGGATGTGTATTTGATTCACGGGGTTAGGGAAGGATGGCATTTCTTAGTTAAAATAAATCATAGTTTTAATCACACGTAAAACAAATACTAAGAATATAATATAATACCAAAAAAAACTGGAATTTTAAATTACTAGGAAACAAACCACCTTTGGTATAATAATTCTGTGACAGTACTTTTAAAACTAAATTTGTTT